GAATTTTCTATAATTACGTTCGACACACGTTAGTCAAAGTAGTTACGAAGAAAATTGGAAAATACTATGATACTTAACGAAATCTCACGAAAATCCGTCACGATTCGTCTCAGGTCGATTCCGATTGTTATTATTGAGCCTCAAAATAGAACTTTTCATGCCCTTTCAAATGAATATCTAACAGACATGATTTGACAAAATAACCATGTGAAAACTAAATATTTTTATTTTGAAAAAGCGCACAACAGTCATACTATCCATTTAAAAAACCGCTCCAAGTCCGTTAGACAGCAATTTTCTATAATTTAGTTCATGATTTCAGACAGAACAAGATATCTGCTTCTATAAACCACTTTCATTTGTCGATTCAACTCACACGTAAGTATCTCGTCTTGCCATTGTGCATTCTTCTGTTCTAGTATGCTTTCGTTTCGTAAATAATCTAGAAACGCATGCGAACACGTTTAGATCATTCCTATTTTTGATAATGAGATATCTTACATGTTCTTTCTTTTGTATCTGAACACTTACTTAGTTCGATCATTTTTTTCAGTCAATTTTACAAGACACACATTAAGAATTTAGTACGATAGGTTGTCATTAAGAGTATATTATTGTTGTTCACTGTCATGACTGATTTAGAACAACCAACTGTGGCAAACCAAACAATACCAACATCTTCTCTGCTATCGAAAGAATGTGAATTTCTAAACAATCCGTATTATATTATTCGCAACTATGACATCATTTTATCTGCCATTAATCGTTATGATTTATGTCTATATTCAAGTATATTTGGCAGCTAAAAAACAAGCTTTAGCAGTTCGTTCAGGTTACAAGCGGCAGCACTTGATTAAATCTACACAATCATGCATTCCTAAATTTCGTTTGAAAGAAATTTTAACTGAGAAAAGATCAAGAATGAAAAAATCAGCAAATACTTCTAATAAAAATGTACGTGAAAAATCAGACGTATTATTACAGAATCGTAGACCGTCATCTAAAATACTAACACTTCGTATTCATTATAGCGCATATCAACGTTCAACTATAGAATTCATCAACCAGAATCACTAACATGACAATAAATTTATCAATAAAATTCTAAGACAAAATGTAAGACGGAAAAATTTCTGGAAACGAATTACGAAAGATCAAAAAGTCGCTGCATTTATCGGTATTGTTATGGGTGTATTTATTGTTTGTTGGTTGCCATTCTTTCTTTATCTCATATCAAGTGGTGTTTTTGGTTTGCGTTTGAAAGATGATCAAAATCATGAATTATTATACGCTATATTTACATGGTTAGAGTATTCGAATTCGGCATTGGACATGCTTGTTTACGTTTTCACTTCTAAAGAATGCAGAACTATGTTTTTAAAAGTATTTTTTCAGTCATCGTACTAGATACGAATGTAATAAATTGTGATTTTATATATTGCGTTGTTTTGAGCGCATATTTTATTCACAAATAGTCGTCTTCTGAAGTAAAAACAATCCAATGCATACTTTCTGGTCAATTAAGACAATCATTTACATTATTAAATGAAAAATAAGTTACTGCCCAGGTCGAAAAGTACCGGCCGGTTCCCGCAGGAAAACACCGGAAATAGCCGGAACATGGAAGCAGTATTCCGGCCGGAAATTTTCGGAATTTTTTCCGCTGATTTTCCGCTCGGTTCCTGCCGGAAAACACAGGAAATTGGCCGGAATTCACCGGAAAAAATCCGGAGAATTTCCGGCCGGACTACTGCTTCCATGTTACGGCTATTTCCGGTGTTTTCCTGCAGGATACGGTGATTTTTCCCGCATTTTCCTGCCGGTTCCTGCAATATCCGGTGGCCGGAACGATCGACCTGGGTGGCTAATGTTTTTAGAAATTAAGAGAATAAAATGGATAGAAGCCCGATAAAGAAAATTGTTCTAACGCCAAAATATTTGTTGCATTTGTTATTTGCGCAGTATCAGATTCCTGCTAAATAGATCATTTAATCTATAAAACAGTATAAATGCTCTTGATTGTTGAATTATTGTCGAAAATAAACCGAGGAGATGATCTTTTATGAACAAATCTGATATTAACTACTGTTGGAGACAAGTTCCCAGGTCGAAATAGCTATGTCGGATCCTGTCGGATAGGTTTCAAATCCGTTGAGATACGGCTAATCGGATTCGGCCGGTTACTTTTTGTCGGATTCCGATGCTATCCACTGTTTTCCTTTGATATCCGCCGGTCGGATTCATCGAGTTCCGACTAGATTCATATATTCGGAACTGGTCAGATCCGATCTCAAGATCTGTTCGCTTCCGATGGGATGCCGGGGAATCTGATGTCAAGAAATCGCCGGATTTTGCGGTTTCAAGTGACACCGGATTCCATGATAAAACCGATCAATCACTGGTATCGGAACTTGTCGGATTATATAAGAATGCAGAATACACAGGCCGATCTCACACCATCGGATCCGATGGAAATTTGTCGAAATTTGTCGGATGTTGGAAAGTGTCGGATTTTCAGAGTTCCGACAAGATCCCGGCCACTTCCGACACTTTCCGACATCCGACAACTTCCTGTCGGAATCCGATACCAAGGATTCCAACGAATTGCCATCGGATTCGATAAAATCCGATAATTTTTCCGATAGGATCCGACGAGATCGGACTGTCGGATTGCTCGTTCTGGGTATCCAGTATAATTTTCCACGTAGTCGGATGCATGAATTAGAATATATTCTGATAGAACAATCAGCTAATCATCTAATAAGATATTTCTCTTTTTACAAATTTCCAACAACAAAATCAAAAATCTGGAAATCCGATTTTGTCCAGATTTCATTCACCGTTTTGTTTTACAGGTATTGATCTATATAAGGAACTCTCTACTTTAATATTTTGAATGAATTTCCAAAGTGTTGCTTAGATTAATTTTACTTCAAATGATGTATTTCCTTATACAATTATGTTTTCTACGGAATCGGATTCTTGAATAAGATTATATTC